ATATATATATATATATATATATATATATATATATATATACATAATCAGATAATATTAATAATAATAATAAATTATTGTACAATTTAATACTGCTACCTCACATGTAAACTAAAATTAGTTTTTGTAGACTAATGATTATTCATATTATGAATTAAATATAGTGCTATGCATTGCCCTATTTATTTGACACTACTTTTGTTGTGTATATATTCCAGTGATATCTCTATTTACATTGTATTATTGAAAAAAACCATACAACTAAAAATAGTTTTATATTTCGTAGCTATTTTCTGTAAACAGAAGTTTTACTTTAATTTAAATATTAACATAGCATACATTCATCAAGATAATATAATCTTTTAGCAATATTATTAACATAACTTATTTAAATTATACAATCTTATGTATTTATTACAATATTCTTTATATATACTTAATTAAATTTTATTTTTTATTCATTAGTATTTAATAACATTTTAAATCCCATTAAAATTATGTCTTTTTCTTCTCCTCCGTATTTTCTCTTCTTTTTTGAAATTATGTCAGTTAACCATATTAAATAACCAAAATATAAATGTTCATTTAATTTAAAATGAACATTTATTAGTTAAACAACAATAATGTTTAATTACTCCATTATAAATACTAATTTAATGATAATAAAATCACAATATAATTAACAACTTATGTTAAGTAATGCAAAATAATCAATGACAACAGTAAAGTTTATTTTACTGTTTTCATACACAATACTATGCGTTAATACTAAAATTAAATCGTGCATAAATTTAAATTGTATAGGAAATAAAAGTCAAACATTAAAATTGTAAGTAATTTTAAAACCTAATGAATTTACTTTAGAGTTAACTCAAACAATAATTATAGTAAATTTCTACCATATAGATTTGATATATCTTTAATATTTTAAATTATAAATGATGATTAAATAAGGAATTAGTTTAATATTTATTATTTACAATTAAGGCATTTTTGATAAATCAAATACAATATAGTACAAAAAAAAAAAAAAATTAAATAAAATATAATAAAAATAATCAAATTACTGACATTAAAAAAAGAAAAAAATTATATTAATCCACTTTGACAACGCTGTATATTTTTCGAACAAACCAAAACGTTGCAAAAAATCCAATTGTGCCTGAAAATATTTAATAATCAATAAAAATGACAATTCAAAAGGTTATAGTATAAAACAAAATAAAAAATAATTTTAATGATTCTTAACAAATGTTTTAAGTATATCTTTATAGAATATTGAAAGCCATTTAATGCCATCCATTTAAGCTATGTTTACACTCGAACACTTTCCACTTCAGTTTTCAATTTGACTTGCGTTTCAACATTAAATTCCGCTTTCATCTAATACATGTCTTTATTGAACGCAATAGATACATACTCACAAAACAGTCTTTCAGGTTATTAACAAAAATCATGTCATATTCAAATGTACTGCTCAGTGTTAATGCAACCTACTTAATTCTTACAAATGCAAATAAAAAACGTAGGAAGAAGTATTCTTTGTAAGTCAACAATTATTTAAAAACTTGAAATTTTGGAATTCTATAGATGATTTGCAATCAGACAAGGATAATTTATTTTAAAATCTATACATAATTGTCCAGATCTTCGGTTTCAGTAATTTCTTTAAGTCAAGTCAGATAATTAATATATTAATATTAAGTAAAATAATAAGTGAAATTCAATATAAAAAGCGCGGTTTGTTAACAGATTACTACTGAGCACTGAAAACTTTGCGTTGTAAAGTGTGTCACAAAAATGTAGCCATTCAATTCAAAAGGGCTTAGTGCTATTGTAAGATTTTTTGCTTAATTTGTGGTGCACTCTGACGCATGCATCTAACGCACAAAAAGCGCACGAGTGTAAACATAATATTATTAATTAAAATTAAGTATTTGAGAAGTACATGTATATTTCAATTAAATAATATCAATAAAAATGTTAATTATTTTTATATATTAATTAACTAACCAGTAAGTAAGAAAAAAAGGAACACCATAATTAATGTGTATCCAAAATACAGAAAAGTTGAAGCAACATCTTCAATGTTAAGTCTTGTCTTGAAATAGTGCACACAATACAAAAATAAATAAAATGATGTAAACGCACTGGTCAAAAAACTTCTCCACCACCAATGGTAATCCTATAAAAAAAATAATAAACATATTCATAAAAACTTATATATTATGTATAATATATATTATTATAAACCTTACTTCAGCACATAAATGGAAATAGCACAAAAGAACAGTCATTTCTGAACATGTTATAATGAGTATAATAAATACGAGGAACAGAAACCCAAACATGTAATACATTTGGTTGGACCTACAAAGAGATAATAATTATTTTTTATACAGCTTAATTTACAAATATCATTATTTTTTTTATTAAATTCGAAGATTAAAAAAAAAAATTAATTACAAATTAATATACCATAATGAATTAAGAATGAAATAAAGTTGAATAAATATGCAGACAAAAGGAAAAACTCCGCCCATTATAATTCCTGGGAAGGGTTGTGTGTAAATAGTTTGTTCTGGAATTTGACGTGGTATTTGATTTGTTCTCACGGGATGTTCAATTGGCTAAAATTATAAAATAATGAATTAATAAATACAACTAAACATAAATAAAATCTACTATATACTCACTCGTTTACGGAAACCAAATAATGCACCTACAAATGTAAGTGGGACAGATACACAAAACCATAATAATAACAAAGCGACTAGTGTAGAAAATGGAATAGCAGCTGAGCTATCTTTAACCCAAAGTACTAAATTCATAATGAAGAACAAACAAAATACAACTCTGAAATAATACATGAACGAATTAAGAAAAAATTTAAATTAATATGAATTATGAATTATTATAAAATAAAATACATTATTATTTTAATCTCACCCAGGACAAAACATGGAGGTCAATATTATGTTAGTTTTCCATTTTTCACCACCAAAGCTTTTGTAAATTCTTGATGATACATATCCAGCAGGTGTTCCAAAGCACACATATAATATTAAAGAGCAAGTCATAAGAGAACCTCTATTAGCTGGGGATAGAAAACCCAAACAAGCAAATGCTGAAATATAAAACATAATTATATAAAACCATATAATTATAAATAATACTAAAATGTAAGAGGAATGTAATTAATCACCTAATGTTACAACAGTCATGCATAACACTTGTACTCCAGAGCCAACAAAAACTGAGAGTAACATTCCTCTTCTTGGAGGCCTGAATACATCCCCATGGACTAGTTTCCAACCAAATTCTTCTTTAATATCATCACCAGCATCAATCTAATAATATTTACAACTTATGATAATTCAACATAAATGTACATTTGCAAAGTATATTATTTTGTAGTTATGTGGAACTACTAATATTTTATAAGATACAGTCTTGTAATAAATAAGTACATAGTACATAGGTAGTGATGAGTAATACTGAGAACACAAATTAATTATAACTTTTTCTTTTTCGCCTTTTTTTCCAACTATTTGAGGTCGGCCACCCTTGTCCTAAACCTCCACTCGTCTCAATTTTCTACATTCTCTATGCACACACCAATGACCCTCATACCATTCTCAATTGTATCCAAACATCCTATTTTTGGTCTTCCTCTTTCTCTTTCCCATTCACGTTCATTTTCATAACAACTCTTACTACATTTGTTTCCTTTCTTCTTATCATTTACTCAAATCATCTTAATCTATTTTCTTTCATCTTGACCACTAGTCACTACACCAATACTACCTTTCACATATTCGTTCATTATTCTATCTTCTTTTGTCACTCAACTCATTTATCGAAGCATTCTTATTCCCACAACATTCATACTCTGTTTTATTCTCCTATCAACTGCCCAACACTCTGAACCATATATCATAGTTTGTCTCACTTTACTCCTGTAAAATTTACCTTTCAGCCTCATTGGAATTCTCTAATCGCATAAAACACCATACGTTTCTCTACATTTTATCCAACTGCATTAAATTTTTTACATCTATGTCAAAACCCCCATCCTTTTGTACAAATTATCCTAAATGTTTAAAGTTCTTGACTTCATATAACACATCATCACTTATTGTTATTGGAATAAATTAATAATAACTACCTGATTATATCTAGCTATATCTTTATGCAATGTACGCAATATTATCATTGCTACCATTCCAGTTAAGATAATAACAATCATTAATGAATTTAAAATGCTAAACCACTGTATGTAGGTAGGTGGAACCGAATCCAAGATGTAGTCCCAGCGTGATGACCACTTAACAGTGTTATTCATCTGAAAATATTAATTAATGATAAAACATAAACATTATTACACATAATTAATGAAAATTAATTTTTAAGCCTGACCATACAACACATATGTTATATAGTTTATTTGTTTTATAGCTTACGATAACACAGAAATACGGCGATACACATGAGTAATATGCATTTATATTTCAAATACTCGTACAATTAGATAACAAACACGCTCATTCTAGTCACACTAACAAGGTGACAACGTTACAGGCGATTGTAAACTCCACCAGAATATCGGTTAAGATAAAAAAGTAATAAAAGGTCTAATGTAAACCGTCAGTTTTTTTTTTTACCTGTAATGGGTATATGTAAACTCCACCAGTTTTTTTTTTTTGTTTTGCCTGTGAATCCTTTCATAGTCATCTAAGAAATTAATTTTATAAAAATCAACCGAATATTTATATTTTTAGTAAAATTCTTACCAAATTTCAAACCCATACTTACATAAAACTAAATGGTATATCCCAAGTAAATAAGCTAAACAATTCGAAATAAAAAAAGAATGACAGTGTTACAGGATGCTATAAATAGGTACACTAATTAAATAATACAAGACTAAGAATGTTTACAAATTATATCACATTATTTTAATTTACATATATGATTATATATTTTTGGACTATTTGGTATAGCTATTATTTATTATGATTTTTTTTTTTTTTTTACTGTGTATAAAATATTTAATGTGGATGATATCTAATTATGAAAAATATAATTTTATATTATTAGGTATAACGATTATTTATTACGATTAAATATTTAATGTGAACGATATATTATATTATATTACTTATAGTTTGTTTTAATGATATATCATATTAATTTTAAACTACTACTTGTGTTGTAAGTACATAGATTTAGTATACACAATGCAAGAGTGCATTGTCCGATTTCACAAAGTCTTCTGTAGTTAGAAATCGAGGGTACACATTCGTCATTCGTGTAAAGATGTGTGCAACATTACTAATGTGTAATAATGAGTTGGCGCATGATGGCCACGTAGGGCCATTAAGACCATTGTCACACGTACTACCACCAGAACGAGGACAACTTTCTGTACATCCTATTACTGTTTGGTATAAAACTGGTACAAAAGACTGAAGGACATTCTTCACTTGTATTTCGACACACATACTGTGCCAGTCGTGGGCAAGTTCTTAGTCTTCATTACAGTGGCGGCTCGCCGGGTGAGGCAAGTGAGGCACAGCCTCACCTGAAATTTACCATTCTAATAATTTATTATTAACCTATTATAAGTATCTAATAATCTTTCAAAATACTAAAATTAATTGTATACAAGATGTAATTTATAATTTTATCTTAAGGTAAAAGACAAAAGATAATGGGAAAATAACTGATAACATAAAATTATAACTGCAAAGTACCGCGGCACTACGCGCCCCACTCCACGTGATCAACAGTTAGAGTGGAGCCACGAGGCACGGAGTATAGTATACTCGCCGAGTCGCGTTTACGAAGCAACCCGATAAGTCTCGAGAGGCAAAAAATTTTATGCTTCAGTTACTATATTGAAATATTAACATTATGTGGTGGTAGTGGGTTGGAAATATACGGTAGAATGAGGATAATATAAATTAGCCTCAATGACGTCAGTGGTATTAATCATTCTGTGCAATCTAAACGAAAAAACTGCACATAGATAATATTATAATAGAAATAGGAATCGATAATATGTCCTTATGTTCCAAAAGTCATTACATACTCTACTATTTTCATAGATAAAGTAAACGTTTATCACTTATCAGTCAATATTAATTAGTAATTAATCAAATCAATAGTAATCAATACAAATCTAACAATTTTAATCTATAATATTAGGACTTACACCATTATACTGTTATGGTTATACGTTATTCGCTAAATTTGTTTTTATATTGTTTTTAACAGACATAACTAATTAAAGGCCATATCGAAACATTGAATATGTTCCCGTTCAACGATGTGGTTATGTCATTAATTGAAACTCCATTTCCCGTAGAAGTGAAATTAAAAAAAAAAACAAATTTTGTTTGCTGGTTGTCCTACAGATATATTAGATACAATTTGTATATCCACTCAGAAAACTAAAACTAAAGTAAGTTCTCGGTTCTTTAATATATGTTGGTACGATACTCACAAGTGGCTGTGTGGTAGTTTTTATAAACGACTGTTTTGTTGGCCTTGCATTTTACTTGGTAAAGGTAAAAATGTTTGGATAACTGATGGCTATTATGATTTAAAAAATCTGGTCAGAAGTGTTAAAATGCATGAAACATCTAAAGATCATATACATAATTTTATGGGATTAGTTTGTTTAAAAAAAAATAAAAGTACTATTGCTGATACGTTAAGTGAAAGGGCTCGTTTGAACAAAACTATTTATAATGAAAATGTTAGAAAGAATAGATTAATTTTGTTGCAATTAATTGAGGTAACATTAATGTTGAGGAAACAAGAGTTGGCATTTAGAAGCCATGATGAGAGATCTACTTCCTCAAACCGTAACTTCCGTAAAGTGTTTAATTTACTTATTAAAAGGAATGATGAATTACTATCACATTACAATAAAATTAGTAATGTATTCACAGGAAAATCAAAAACAATCCAAAATGAAATTATTTATTGTGTATAAGAGTATGTACTAGATGTAATTAAATCAGAAATGAATGATACTTTTTTTTCTATTATATCAAACGATACTACTGACATTGTTGAAAAGTCACAGTATGCAATAACTATTAGGTATGTTAAAAAAACTGGTGAATTAAAAGAAAAAATTTTAAGCTTCCATGATGTAAGCAGTAGTAAGAATGTTAAAGCTCTTTTTAGTTTAATACTAACAGTACTAGAACCTTTTAATTTTAAAACAAAGTTAATAGCGCAGTGGTGTGATGAAGTAAGTGTATTCCTGTTGCTAAAGAAACTCGTTCAAAAATATTTGACTTTGTTACTTTGAATTTAAATAAGTTAATTGAAATAATGCAAAATATTATGGATAATCCTGAGTCAGGTATAGAATCCATAAATGGTGCAAAAGGTTTTATAAATAGTTTGAAAAAATTTGATTTGGTTTTTTTTTATGGTTGTGTTTAATGAAATTTTAATATCACTGATAATTTGTATCCAATTTTACAAGTCAAGCACTTGGATGTAGTATATTGTATAGATCAAGTTAATACATCTATAAATAGAATTAAACTTCTAAGAACTTTTGAAAGTGCAACATTTTTGTTTAATAAATCTAAAAAAAATTAATACTCCAAAACAGCCTTGAGGAGTAGTTGAAAGAGATCTTTTAAATAAATATAATGTGTTGCAATATGAAATACTGGATAATATAATATTTCAACTCGCTGAACATTTTCAAAATTTAGGTAAACTCAAATTTGTAACGTAAGTCGATTCTTCAAAATTTAAATTTTATCAAACTGCCTTTCCTAATGAAGAACTTGAATGTTTATCTTCCACTTATAAAGATATATTTGATTTAACATTATTAAAAAATGAATTGTCAGTTGTTTATTCTGTTTCCCAATTTCACAACTAACATATTCAATAATGTGTAAAATTACTAAAACAATTTCAAGATTCTGGATAATTAATGGAAGTATATAAACTATTTCGCTATACTGTATCAGTAGAAAGATTGTCTTCTTTAGCAACAATAAGTATAGAAAAGGAATTGATTAACTCTTTGGCAGATAATGATGGACAGTTTTATGAAAAAATTATTGATATATTTTCAGTAATGAAAGATAGAAAAATAGATTTAATTTATTAAAATTAAATTAGTAGTTATATATTTTTGTGTTATTAATAAAAAAAACTAGGCTCTCTTATGTGATATTTAATTTTTGTTAGTTTATTTTTGAATTTGTTAAAAATTATAATTTGTGATAAATAAAATATTGTACTATTTTTATAGTAAATAGTTCAACAAAAAGTTAAGGAATGATATTATTAACTATAAAGATTTAATTTTTTTTTTTATATTTATTATTCTATTATTTAGGTAAACTATAATTTGTGATAAATAAAGTTTTATACCTTTCTATTATTTTTATAGTAAATAGTTTAACCAATAAGTTGAGAAATGATATTACAAAAGTATAATTTTTTCTTTTTTTTTTAATATTTTTTGTTCCATTATTATAATAATGAAACAGAAAATATTAATTAAATAATTATTATAATTTGTTATAAATAAAGTTTTATACTATTTTTATAGTAGATAGTTTAGTACAACAATTAAGAAATTAAATACATTTTTTTTTTTTTAATATTTTCTGTTGTCTACTTTATAATCCTACACTGCATGAATTAATTTTGATGGTGAATCTTTCTTAGCTAAGCTTTTACAGCTGTTAGAACGGTAATAACTAATAATAATTCGATTATTCAAAATACCTTGAAAAATGTATACTGTATGTTACATTTATTTTACTGAATGTCTACCTCAGCCTCACCACTTACGAGCCGCCACTGCTTCATTACTCTTTTTAAATTCTATATTAATATAAATATATGTATGTGTTGTAATTATTGAAATTAATGAAGTTTACTAATACAACTGGACTCATATTTAACAAATCTACAAACAACTCCTTCCTCTGAGGTGCTGACAAGTCACCCGGTTCACAACACTTGATTTTCTTCACTGGCGAAGTTTATATGAACTCAATTTTACCTGATTTTTTTCAGTGGCGAAGTTTACACGAACCCAATTTTACTTGTTTTTTTTTCTGGCGGAGTTTACAGTTAAAAAAGGTACTTTTGGCGGAGTTTACATGACCCGACATTACAGCCGACCCCAGAGTGCAACAACATCACTATCTAAAGTTCAATTAAAACCTTTATAAATTAACATTATTTCAAATAAAGTTCACAAACAATTATTTACATTATCGAAATCTCCGAATTCCAATAACATGATAAACAATAATTCACAAACCAACAATGTATCAAATATAAATAAAATTCCAAAAATGTAAATACCTACACAAAACATTTCGCTGAGGCAACAGCAAGCAATACCCTTCCAAAACTGAATCAAATAATAGTCTTTACGGCAATTTATGGCATAAAACAAATAGATTACCTAATTGCAATTAGTAAATTCACGGCACCTACAAATATCATTTTCGCGTTTCGTATCACGAAATATCGTTTCTGTATTTTTTTCAACAATCATACAGCCGACAAACTAGTTAAAAACCACCAAAAAATTCACATTGGCAACGATGAAATAACAATAAAAAAGTTAATAAATCCATCCAAAAGAATCACTCTGTATAATGTAAACCCAAAAGCACAATAATCAAAGCTCTAGTTGACATATGAATTAGAAACACATAAGCATTATTTCTACTAAAAACAGTTAACTCCTCAGAGTTATCCACGAAAGTCACAAGTTTTAGAAGGCAAATCTACATCAACCCTATAGGCAAAATTAGACAATTTTATTAGGACAGTCCAAATGATAAATATGTGATAAATATTGAAGCATTCGAATCGCGTCCATAAATGATATTTTGTCCACGGTTTTTGCTCAACACATTTGAATTGAGTGCTCAATTTTATCACATAAATTTCGACTTTGTTAGTTTTTATCACACCCAAACTGATTATTGCCAAATGTAATTCTTCTGATTTTTATGAAAAATTCTTGGAAAGTAAATTTGTATCTAATATAATATTATATTATTTATAATCAATGGTATTATGTCCGACTGCAAGATGATCTAAGTTATTATCGCACTGAAACTAATGCTAACACCGTGCTAGTATTATGTACAAAATTCATTTCCAACAATAGTAAGGTACGATTTACGAATAAGATATCGATAATCAAGGTGATCTACGAGCTTATAACCAAAAATATAGACTTTATTAAATATATTATTCTTGTGGATGCAACACGGAACAGCCATCGAGAAACCGTGGACACTATATCAATTTCTTTCACTGTAAGGCGTAGGAAGTTAATTAAAAATTGAAGGAAGAATTAAAAATGGTAACAATTAATGGGTTCATAAAGAGTCAAAGGATACAATAGCTAGGACATATAATGGCATAATATTGATACAGTAACTAAAATATATCTTAATTAGAAACCAAAAGGAAAAAGGCAGCAGTAGTCCTCGAAAGAGATGGATGGATGTTGTAGACAAGGATTTGGAAGACCTTAGCGCACCGAATTGGAAGGTAATTGTACAGGATCAAGATAAGTGGAATGATTGATGGCAATAAAAACTCTTGGAGTTATGGAGGCCAGAAGAATAATAAGAATAGATGTTGAAGCCTAATTAATTCAATACAAAAAAAAAATTAATTAATTAAATAAAAATATTTATTCTTACCTCAAATTGAACGGAATAAGTGTATGTTATATTTAATTCACTTGTTATTTTATCAGCAGGTATTTCCATAAAACCAGTATCACATGAAGTGACTGGATATCTATGTTTTATACTTTTAGGCTTCACTTTAATAGCTTTAATAAAACAAAAAATTACAATTACTTCCACGATTATAAATATACAAGTAGTTATTTTAGATTTTAAAAATAAATAAATAAATACTACAGAAAAAAATATGAAAATGTAATGAAATACTTAAACTAATAAACTAATTTAAAATATTTATGAACAAACCTATTATTCTGCCACCTTCAGAACTAAAAGATGATCCCCATTCTTCATTTTTCCCACTATGATAAGTTATTGTAAATTCTAAATGGTTAAAAATATAATAAGTGTTTGGTTTTAATGTGCGAGGAGGTACCTGAAACAAAATTCAATTACATTTAAATCATTAGCTTTGCCAATAAAAATTGTATGTTTCTAATTGAATAATTAAATAAAATAAATATTTATCATGATGAATTAAATAAAAATATATATTAGATATCCAAATTAAGATTAAATAACATAACAATTTGATAATAAAACATACTCTAAGAATCGTATCACATAAGTTGTTATCATGACTAGCATCTGGTTTATAACATCCCATTGGAAATCCAGTACTACAATATTGCTGATTGTCTTCTAAATCATAGCACCAAGTAACTGGCATATTGTCTGAAGTAAACATAAAAAAATGTTATTTATTTACTCTTATTTTTTTTCTAACTCGTAATGTATTTTCTAAATACTTAATTTATTAAATATTAATAACATTATAATAACAAATTTGAATATAATTTCATTAAAAGAGAAACAATTATTATAAAAATGTTAGTAAATAATATACAAGTTACTATTCAGAATTATGAAAATAAGTAATTTGAGACATAAATAGAAATAGTGTAACTAATAATTAATTTAAAATATGGATAACAGAAAATTATATTTATATTTAAACTATATAATATAAATTAAATTGATCATACCAACAATAAAATGATGTTGATAATTTAAACTCATTCCGCGCTTAAGAACAAAAAGTTTCATGTTACTTATTGAATCTCCAGGGATATACTTTTTGGTACAAAGTGTTTTACATTCTTCATCATTTAAAAATGAAACCTGTAAAATTAAAACCGAACAGTAAAATAAGAAATTACCTATACTCGTATGCTGATAATATACCTAATATTTATAAATATTATAATATAAACATATTATTTTATGAACTTACGTTATATCCAGATGGTCGAATTCTTTCACCAAATAAGACTTGTCCCAAATTTTCAGTAGGAGATTTACTTTCATCAGATGTACAGAAGTCAAAGCTATGAAAAAATAATAAAAATAATACCATTATATATAAATATTTGATAAGTAATGTTATTAAATTGAAATAAATTATTTACCGACTACAATACTAGTACCATTTTATAACATTCAATTATGTGTTCTAAACAAAGTTCAGACATATTCTTATACATTAAATATCCTATTTTATATGAATTTTACTTTAACATACAAGTAGAATTATTATAATATAACAATATAATGCATACAAATACATATTAAGTACTAGTAATATAATATTTAATATGTATAGGTATAATATGTACTTATATATCTATGTATATAAAAATCTCGTGTCATAATGTTTGTGACCATACTCTTCCAAAACGGCTTAACCGATTTTAATGAAATTTTGTATATATATTTGATAGGTCTGCGAATAGGTTTTTATCTATTTTTTACACTCCTAAGTGCTATTGTTTAATAAATCGTAGTTTAATTTAATAATTTTTGACCCGGTCGATATCTGCGCAATTGAAAATGTATTATTAAATGATACTATTAAAAAACTATAAAAAACTATTTAAAAATTATTAATTTTATTTTTGGTATTAAATTACGGGTATTGCATAAATATTAAACAAGATCCCGCAACAGGTGCCAAAACAAACAAGAATGTTATTTTGAAGAATTATTATGCATATCGGTTGATGATTAGATGCGATCAGGACACCGTTATTCTATGATGACCTGAGGTTTGTCAACAATTATGTAAAGATAGAGAGCGAACGATTACGATACTTGCGATTCAATCAAAAAAAGCTGCGCGTGGAAGATTCTCAAAACAATTGTTAGACATCGGTGATGGGAAAGTTACTACAGATGAAACGGGATGCATACAATTACTGACCGATTTCTGCACAATCATTGATTCGCAAGATGCTCTCATTGACCAGATATTTCCCAATGTACATAGATAATACACAAATCATGAGTGGCTGGCAGAAAAAGCAATTTTAGCAGCAAAAATGTGGACGTTAACAAATTGAATCTCAAGATACAATATTTTTTACCGAGAAACTTGGTGTCATACAAATCTACTGATACAATTTGCGATGCTACTGAAGCTGTAAATTATCCAACAGTTTTTAAACTCATTGGATTTACCAAGCATGCCATCGCATAATTTACAACTGAAGGTTGGATCTCCAGTTATTTAGCTTCGTAATTTGAACCCACCTTGGTTGTGCAACGGCACGCGATTAGTCATTAAAAAAATTAATGGAAAATATTATCAAAGCCATTATTTTAAAGAGCAAATCCTGAGATGAAAATATATTATTACCGCGAATTCCTATTATACCCATATACATGTTAATACAATTTAAACGCCTTCAATTTCCAATTAGATTGACTTTTGCAATGACTATCAATAAGTCTTAAAGCCAAACGATGTCTGTGGCTTAGATTTGAGCACATCATGTTTTTCACACGGACAATTATACGTCGTGGTGTGCTCTCGAACCATCCAGTTTGTATGTGTTGGCGAAAGATGGGATAGCAAAAAATATTGTATACTCTTTTGCATTAAGGGATTGATATTGTTTTTTACTAATATTGTCATAATAGGCGATATATATAATTTTAAAGGATCAATTTTAATAAATAAATAAAAAATAAATGTTTGATGTTTTTTTTTACTTTTATATTTCGTCACTGTTCACAGCACTCCATACCTTTTCCGCTTATATACCACATCCTTACACACTTATATTAAATTAGTTATTTTTTTTCTAGCAAAACATTCTCTAGAAATAATTTATATGACGAAACAATGTTTGTCAGGTCAGCTAGTATATATATATATATATATTAAAACTAAAACCTAAAATTTTAAAAGTAACAATTGAAACTATAAATAAAAAATAATTTATTATTCAGTATTAACTTATAATGCTATAAAAAAAAATCATTAAATATTTTGATGATTTAGATTTAAGTTCATTTTGTACTCAATTTTGAAGCTATTAAGTACAAGACTTACTTTATAAAAAAATTAACATACGAGTATGCTGGACAAAATTTAAATATAATCTAAATAAGTTTTATTTAGTTTTAAATATTTTATGAAATATAAAAACCTATTCAAATTAATTATAGGGTCTAGTCTTTGATTTATAAGATACAGTCTTAGAAATTATATGAATATATAACAGAATTAAATAAAAATGCATGTCACTATAAAATCAATATGATTTGGTAAAAATCTAAAATAATACGCGATTCTGTCTTAAAAAAAAAAAAGTAGAAAAGTAATACATTTATGTTTAATTATGTATTGATTTTCATTTGATGTTCAATTTTCAAAGCTAATATATATTTTAGAATTCATTAAAACTTCCCAAGTATTTATTCAAGAAGTCAATGTATAAACATAAATATTTATATGTTCAACAAATACAAATTTGTTGTTAACATTTATATTTTATTTTTAATATATTAATATATGGTATAAAATACAAAAAGTCAATGAAATATTATTTTTAAATTGCAGATATGGAGTTATTACCAAATTAATAATAATATTTCTTTTATAAAAAAAAGGCAAAATAAAAAATTATTACCAGACTACTGTACACTATAGACAACATTTTTTGTGAACTATGCATAAATGACCATTTCAGAATAAATGTTTATATTAAATCAAGTTAACAAAATACATATGACACATTATTAGGGTTGAACAAGCCCACCAAAATAATAGAAAATTTTCAGTAGTTATAAAGTAACTGTCTGCTTCTGTTACATTATAAAAATATTTCATTATAATAATTGTTCATAATAATGGTTACAGTTTTTGTATTTTGTATACTACATATTTTATGCAAAATTGATGTAAGATAATGTTATGTACGACGAAAATTCAATTATCTTCAAAAACACCAGTCAAGATCTAGAATTGTCAATAAAGGGAACGGCAAGTATACTAAGTGTGGAAGATCACATTCTAGCAAAGAAGAGCGTCCATTCATAAATTGAAAATGTATAGCTGTGAAAAAGTAGGCTTTACCTATATTTATTTTTTTAATTTTCTGAATTAGTATAAGTATATTTAATATATATTATGAATTGTTTATGCATTTTTTTTTTTATTAAATTATAGATTATTAAAATCTATATAACTTTCAGTTCATTTTCTACTAAGATAAATTTAAGGAGCAAAATTTAAAATGTTGTCAATAAATTCTATAAATAATAAAATATACTATGGAAAATAATTTAAAAGTAATACAAAATGTTAAATGTTGTATTCTTAAATTATAAGAAAATAATCTTTAGTAGAAAAATAATGAAATTAATTATAGTAGATTAACATGTATTAAAAATTGTTATCTTTCTATTTTTTAATTTGTAAATCTATTACTCTTTGCAGTATTATTCCTTTTTTATGGTATTGATAAAAAGCACATCAGCCTATATATTAATAACACACAAAAAAAAATATATATATTATTGGTAATATTCTGAGTCAACAAATTATTTGTTAATTGATAATTTTAAATAAATCAGTTATTAATATTAATGTTCATTAATTAGATAATTAAACATCTATTTAATAAATAAATAAATATTAAAAGTTATTTTCATTTAAGTCAGTCAATAAATTGATGGCATTTAAGTAAAATCATTATAATAATGCTACTAATTACAGAACCTATAAAATTAATGTATGAACTTACTAGTGATATTCATATGGTATAACTGATTCATCCGAATTGAGACGGTTCACAAAGAAATCAATCTTACTCTGTAAAAAAATTATAAACAAATTCAATTAATGATGCAATTTTAAATGATAGTATTATGGATATATATATATATGTTCTTACGATTACTATTACATGAAGGAATCACATAAATAATGTTATATATCATTAATATACAAGCTCCAGTAATTGCAACAACTAAAAAACCATAAGATAGAACAAATACGCAAGTAAATACATACCACAGGATGATCTATCATCTACTGATTTATAAGATACGTGAAAAGTAGTTGCACAGAAAGCAGATATCACAAGGCCAATTATTTTATATATAATGGATAAACCAGAGTTGGGCACATGGTAATATTAATAACAAATCATACATCGTTAATGAAATAATGTATTGGCAATGATAGGAGAACGAACTACAAAGAGTTCACTCAAGGCAGGAGTATTAGTTATAAAATATATATTCGCATAAAACATAACTCAAACCACGTCTGGGTCAAGTGCATTAATCTCTTGAAAGAACTATAGTCTCTTACACAAGAACAGGGTATATAAGGTAGTCCTGAATAAACCAATAGGCAGATGTGTTTTTGGTTTGATCACCGTAAGCACCTTCACGCCAGTTAACTTTCTTAAATAAATTAAATACTTTGGACTTAGAATTATTTTCAGATAAACGTTTTACAAGCTTAGTATATTTCATAATAAACAATATTTAACTAAAATTGAGTTTAAATTCCACCTTACAACTTCTGTTGAACTGACGGCACGCAACAAAAGAAAATAAACAATAAAACAAACAAAAATATTGACCAATGGATTGCTTATCGCTACGGATGTAACATTGTGATTACATCACATAGAGCATGATCAGGTATTCGGTATTATTGAATTTTCACTAGTAAAGAAACCAAGATGGGTTGTAAGGTCATAAATCGAGACGGCCGTTAATACGACATCATTCACTCGGACAGAGCATCAACAATCATTGGTATTATTACCAGGCAAGAGTATAGAACGCAGATGGAGACATGGTGGGAACGGTTTTACATCGAGTTCGTGTGTCAGGTGTAGCACTAGACAGTAGGTATCAACCGCTAAGTCGGGTCTGAACGGGTGAGTGGACGCCGAGGAAGGGTGGCGAAAATTGGACAATGGGCGGAGGGCGAAATCAAGAAACCACCGGGGCGAGAAACGTATTACGGTCACCGCGAGAGTACTGCGACCTTAGTACAGACCGACGGTGGAGCGAAACGGTAGCGGCACGAGTAACGTGTAAGAATCGCGTTTACCTTGCATGTCGTAGCCGACTCCTTGCAGTAGTTGACGGGCGCCAGGCCGGGCAAATAGAACGCGTGGACGCGCGCGCAACACAGCCCCAGCCACAGCCATACGACGGTCGCCGTTCGATCCATGTCCGCGTTCGGCGTTCGGCAAAATTGGTCCCGAAAAACACGCTGCTGACCGCTAATGCACGAGTGCCGAGCCCGGGACGTGCGTGTGCGCGTTAATGCGATTTATCTGGAAACGCAACGTCGTCTGAAACCGACTGATAATGGCGTCCGCTTTATCATCGCCGTCCCCGCTCTGCCGCCGGCCCGCGGGCGGACGTGCGATTCCGTTTGTGATCACGACGACAAACCGCCGAATCCGACCACCGGTCCCCCGGTGACGTCTTGTCCGTGTCGCCACCCAGTCGACCCACGTACTGCTTATATTTACCGATTCACCGTGTGCATGTTGTACAGTTGTCAATTATTGTTGTTCCGCCAGGGCCGTCTCGAAAGGGGATCTTGAGGAGTATCTCATCCCCCCAACGAAAACACCAGTCGACAGTCGGACTTGTTTCATTAGAGCCTATAAGGACCCAATTTTACTTACGGAAAACAAATATTATATATTTCGTAATAAAGTGTACGCACGAATACAATTTATATAACTACTTATTATAGAATATAAAATATTATTATGCATATATGTATGATTAAATTGTCAATTTTAAGAACGTGCGATACTGACTCATATATATATGTTCAAAAGTAAAAATACGACTACATGTAGTTAATTATTCTACATACATTGAGTAAAAAAATTGTAGTCGGCATTTTTCATATTATTCACCCCCCCCTTGATTTTCATCTTCGGGACGGCCCTGTGTTCCGCTCGGTTCACGGGCATTGCTTATTACTGTCGCGACAACGACGACGTCGGTTAACGTTTGAGGTTGCTCAGTGACAAGACTGCAATCACAGCGAATCATGACACTTCACACGTTCGTGCAGACGTTAATTACGAATCAACTGATGTACAGCGAGTACTTAGATATCAAGATACAATCCTTAGATCGGTTGTTTGTGAGAAAAATCAAGGATTACAACTGAAATGAAATGAGTGTTTCACTCTGAACTAACCAAAGGATTAAACTCAACCTACATGTTTTTTATGTTGGATGTTGTGCAGTTAACAATTATTGTTGACTGCCATTGAAACAGAATATATCCGTTTAATGTACAGATATCAAATTATATATAACTAATGAACATATTGTCGCGTCCCATGTATTTAAATAATAATAGTTTGGAATAAGTACCGTACGCACACGGCACAAAGAGCTGATTGTTTCCACATCCTTGGATAAATTAAATCATACACATTATCACAGAAACGTCATCCCACATACACCTACACAAAATTCAAATAACGATTATCATTTTCACATACACACATACACTTGCGTCAATCACTATAGATATCGGGTGTATAAGGACCTGGAAACAAGGGCGAAGCAGACGAGTTCTAGCTATGCGACACTGAGCACCTTCACGCCAGTGTATGCTATGGTCTGGACTTTCAACAGTTTATTAAATTATTAAAACTTAGAATAATTTAGAATAATTAATATAAAATTTCTTTTACACCACAACTAGTAGTAATTATTTATCAACATCTACCTACTCATAAGTGTTGAACAGACTGAGCAATACTGATTTACGGTCAATCAGTTGGCACGCAACAGTTTAAGTATGAATCTGTCGAATCTCAAAGCACATACTCATTCCTTGGTAGAAAGGTTAAAAAATATTAATTTTGAAATTTTTGATTTCAAGTGCTTGAAATGTTTGACATACCAGACTAAATCAATTTTCTGGTCAAGGTTAATAATAATTTTATTTATAGATTCTTGCATTCAGATCTAAGTAAGAAATAAATTTACATTTATTTCATACAAAATAATTACATTGAATATGTACTGCATTTAATTATGATAAATGTATTTAATACAATTCTAATATACATCTTAATAAGATAAATTATAATAAATTGTATAAAAAATGATTTTAAAAATAATAAAATAAACGCTAAAACTGATAGAACTGATAGCAAGTTCTGATATTATTTATGTTTGTGTGACTTCTTTTTTGATTTATGTTTGTGTTTCTTGTGCTTGCTATGTTTTTTTTTAAGACTCGACTCTTTGCTAAATGATTCAGGTTTTTCCACCCATTCATCTTCAGAAGATGTATTTTCTATCTTCTTAATATTAACAGAGTTCATTTTTGAGATTTTTCTAGATTCAGGTTTTAATGGACCATACAAATTATTGATATTATCAATTTCATTTATGGTAACTTTATTTTCATTCCCATTTTCATTTTTTTTATGAGATGTATCAAATAAATCGTCAAAATTAAGGTTAGCAAAAATTCCTTTAGGAGGAATAATATTTAAAGGAGTAGAACTTGGAACATTCAATTCTTTGACTTCTGTCTTGACTGATAATGTTTCGTTTGAACAAGTATTTTCAATGGGATCCATTGATATTTTTTCACTTTTGTCATCATTTACTGTATCTTCATCACTATCATCCAAAAATATATCTTTAAAAAAATCAACACTCGGTTTCTGACATTCTACGACATCATTAGTAGTTTCCTGAAAGCATACATATATTTTAGAATTATTTAATATTCCAACTATAAGATCATAAAGCGATTCAAATTATTTTTATACAACATGACCCTCCTATTCATTCTTCTTAGTAAAACAATTTAATTTTGATGTTAAACAAAAAAAATATTTAGTTGTAAATCATTTAATTGATCAGTACAGTGACACTTTAGATTACAAATTATTTTTTAAATATATTTCACATAAACATAGTTTCAAAGAAAAACCTGTTTTATAAAAGAATAATAATAATTTGCAACCCATATCGTAATGTTGCTATTTAACACATGAATGTATATCAAAACCAGTATTAAAATGAAGGAAATTTTTTATCCAAATTACATAATAATGCGGTAAATTATGTAAGGATGTAAGAGTATAATTATGAAGATAGTAAAATAGTATATAATACTGTAATAATGCAAAATTTGAACCTACCATCACATTTTCTTGTAATTCAAATTGTTTTTCATGATCAGGAATCACATTATTAACAGTCAACGGTAAATTATTTAGAATTGAATTTTCATCATTAGGCGCAGGTTCATGTGATGCAAATTCTAAAGAACTAAATAGACTACACTCTCCATGTTTTTTTCCATCATTCGTATAGTTGATCCTAAAAATACATAATTATTAATTACATGAAAATAATTTATCTAATTAAACATTAAATTAATTACATTGATTGTTTTGGCACAGGAACATTAAATCTTTTACAAAGTAATTTATCAGGAATCCAAGGTTCAACTTTTCTGGTCCAAAACCCATACATTTTTTTGTCAGCATATTCCTTAAGTTTTTGTAATGCTGGATCAGTAGTTCTAATAACTGGTTTCAAAGCATTTGTTGAATCATCAGGTAACACAGCTCTGGTAAATCGATCAGATATTATATCTGATAGTAAACAAGGTTCTTCTATATGTAAAAAAAGAAAAAATGAAATTCAAATGATTTTAAATTAATTGTTATATATCTACTAAAATTTACCTTTTTTAATAAGCTGTATTACTGGTGGTGGTGCTTGAGGTTTTTTTATTTCTCGTTGTCTTGTGTTCACATTAAGATTTGAAACGATAGTAGAATTAGTAGATTGACTGTAAAAATCAGGAGGACATTGACCCAATATCCGTTCAAACATTCCTTTGGGACGCCACTCTAATTAAATTAATTTAAAATTAAAAATATTTACATGTTCAGTGTTATGCAAAATAAACTATTAAAATATGTGTACCAGGTGGAATTTCCATAGGAGGTGGAAGTTTTTGAAACAAACTGTTTTTTATTTGATCTTCAACAAATCCATCAATACATTCAGAACTTAAATGATTAGACTTGGATTTATTTTTAGATTTTTTAGATTTATCTTCTAGAGTGAAATCATAATTTGTCATATCTTCAGTAGCATAAATATCATCATCATCATCTTCATAAGCTCCTACTCCAAAAGCCTAAATAAAGATAAATTTTTATTTTTTTAAATTACAAAAGTATTAACACTAAAATTGATAACCAACGTAGTAATATTATCTATATAATATTACATATTACATAAAAATAGATTTCCGTCTGTTTGTCTTTTATGCATTCCTAAACAACTGGAATAATTGCAATGAAGTTTGGTACAGAGATATATTAAACCTATGAGCTAAGTTAAAAAGCAATAGGCCCAACCCCAGGAGGTGCTCAATCAGACATTTTGAGATTTACAATAAAAATTTTTGTTTATAGATGGTGTTTATTAATTTCAATAATAATAATTAGTGCGAAAGAAATTATTATCCTTGAATTTATCATTATTATTTTTTATTAGTTTCTGTGGCACGTGTGTTTTGTTTTTTTAATTTCTGGTGCATCTCACCTTTGCAACGACTATCAACAAAGTACAAGGACAATTGCTACAAGTGTGTGAACTACTGAATTTGAAAAATCCATGCTTTTCACATGAACAGCTGTAAGTGGCATGCTCAAATGTCTGAAAACCTTCTAATTTATTTGTGTACACACCAAAAGGAAGAAAAAAAATATTGTGTATCCAAATATACTTCAATAAATACCATTCAATTGAATACTTGAATTGTCAGACTTTTCTTGATATAACGAATAAAATTACATAATAATAAACTAAACTGTATATCGTAGTAAAATTATTACACAGTATATTTTAACTATCTAAATGTATACTGCTAGAATAATCACAGGTAACAAATTTAACACAAAATTTAAAACAAATATGAAGTAGGATTTTTCACGAGCTATATAGTGCACGGGTTCAGCTAGTAATCCTATATAATAGGGATTTTTCTAAAAAACTTAAAAATACCTCAAATAATTTTCTTATTTAAATTTTAAATAAATAAGATGAATAAAGATAATAATAATGGAGTACAAAATTCTAAGAACATATGTATATAAATAATATTACCTGTCCATGAATAGATTTTCCTCCAACAGTCAGTTTACTATATTTATCAGTAGATTTTCCTGAAGTATTAGTTGTCTTAAGACCTTCATAACCCAGTCCAAAAGTATCAACTTTTGGTTTAATTGCCACTGATTCATACTCATAAGGAGAAACTTTAATGTTTCCTAATAACTCGTTGACTTCATCATCATCATCATCATACTTAGTTTTTGTATTAAATCTCATTCCAACATTTTCTAATTCTTTTTTAACTCTCAATTTTTCTTGCTGTGTGAGTTGAGGACCAACTCCTTGACCAGGTCTCCAACCCATACTTTTCAGCAATTCAACGCCCCATGTATCTCTTAATAAAACAATTTAATAGTTATTAAGTATTATATTTTTGATAAAAACTTATAATATATTTATAATAATATTTAAAAAAATGTTATTTTTTTTACTTAATTGGTTTTAAAATGTCTCCAAGTACAGGCTTTCCAGGAATAGGTCCAGTATTAATCATAGGAAGTTGACGTTTTCTTGACGAATTATCACTATATTCTGCTTTTATTTTTAAACTTGCAGAATCAACTCCCAAGTCTCTTTTATCCTAAGAAATGTTAGTTAAAATATTAAATAATGTTGTATAGTATAGATTAAGTAAATATTTTAAATTTATATACTTCTTCATCCATAAAATCGTAAGCATTTTGAGCTCTAGGTGTATATTTTGAAGCCCTAGATGATTTAAATGTGCTTGGTGTCCATCCTTCTAAAGAACCAACTGTATTATAAAATCCAGCAGAAAATCCCCCTGTAAAAGCTCCATGAAATCGTCTTCTTCCATTTTCATCTTTCACAAACTGTTGTTCTGCATCTTTTCTTTTAACAATCTCATCTATAAAAGAAAGAGTAAATAAAACTATCAAATATTTTTGATAATAACTTATAATTATTATCACATTACAAAAATACATAATATTGTATAGGTACTATGTTATATAATTCTAACATTCAAATATTAAATTTAAGTATACATACTTAAAATTAAATTACTATAAGAATTTGTATAGCCAAAAAGATTTCTAAAAAGATTTTAATTTGTACTTATATTTAATTAAAAATAGTATGAGAATGAAAGATATTAATTTCATTGATATGACATTATTAAATTATGACTTGTAAAGATATTTTTTTTTTTTTTTAGTTGAATTTTTAATATACTATAATATAATTTATATTTTAAATAATAAAATGATTTTTAATTGTATAAATGTATAATTAAGTAACTATTCATTTTTAATTTAATGATAAAAATATCTGATAATTTAATTAATTTAAAATTAAATAAAAAAATAAATAATAATAATAAAATAAAAGATTTTAACAACTACCTAGAGATATTTATGACAATTTTACTAGTAAAAATGTATTTCTAATATTAATGCTGTAGAAGTACAATAATAAATAAATTAAATTAAACTAATAATAACTAAGTTATTTTCAATGAATAAAAACATATTAAATTTAATAGTTGAAAATCTAAATACATAATATGATTAAACATTTTTAAAATGCCAAGATTAACAATACATTTTAAACTTTTATATTATCATATAAACAGAAAAGAAAATATTTAAAAATATAATCAAAGTAAATATAACACTTGTAAAATGTAATAGTAAACCATGTAAGTAAGCTAACAATTTTTAATTCCTCTTCTTCTTCGCCTTTCTTCCAACTATTTGGGATCTGCCAACCTTGTCCAACACCTCCACTCATCTTGATTTTCTATATCCCCTACGCACACACCATTAGTCTTCATATAGTTTTAAATTGTATCCAACCATCTCATTTTTAGTTTTACTCTTCCTCTTTTCCTTTCCACGTTCATTTTCATAACCACTCTAAATGCTTTTGTTTCATCTCCCCTCATCAAATGCCAAACTAACAATTTTTAATAACCATCTAAAATAACGAAAAAAAAAATTATTCTATATTTTCTTTGAATTTTTATAGTACATTTGTAGTAAATTAACGATTATCAATTTATAACAAAAAAAATTTAAATTAGTTTTATAAAAATTAACAACAAAATGATTTACTATAATAAAGAATGAAATGTCTTTGTACATAACTAATATATTAAATATCGAGTTTTTCCAAATAATGTCCAGAATTGTTTTCAAAATAAGAAAATAACTGAAATATACATTATTCAACGTTATAACTTACCTTCTTGAATGGGATCCAACAACTTCCCGTGAATAATATATTCATCATCGTCGTCGTCATCTGAAGACATGATTAATTTGACAATCCCGGATCAAACAGTTTCTTATAAATACATTCGTTATTTAATTTTAACACTTCTAACGTTAAAGAAAGTCACGAACTCGACGGTCACTCCGCCAAATGATAAGGCCAAATGATGATATTAGATAACAACAACGTAAACAATCGGCACAAGCATACATATTGAACGACAAAATGAGCGGGTTATTTGAAACCACGATTTAAGTTTTAATACTCTAATATTATTATCTGAGAGCGTGTTTGAAACTTAGATCACACGATCATAACACGAAGAGCTAGATCTAAAAGACAAAGGCAAATAAATGGAAGAAAAATGATCTTATAATTATCATAAGTCAAAATCTACTCGTAATTGGTCTTTGTTAATAAAATCTATAGCTATAAAATAATAAATTCTCTAACATAGGTATGTTTGAATAGGTTTTTTTACATTTTTCGTTTTCGCTGGAGCTTTTACCATTTCTTTGTAGAAACTTAAAATATTTAATCATTAATAGTAATAGATCATTAATCTAGAAATTATGACTAGATTAATTAATCTGTAATTAGAATATATACTTAATTAAAAATACCTAATTTAGGTAAGTTATACTTCCCGTGTTCAAACTGCTTGGATCTGATATTAATTATATCTTAATTGTATCATATAAATCAATTATTTTAAAAAGTAATAAGCATTTCAGAATTAATATTGTACCTACCTAAGAATGTCTACCTAAAATCGATAATAACCAGTATGTCACTTTTTACAAAGATCTTAAGAGGACATCACACCCGCATGTGTTGTCTCTGTCTAACATACGTACAACATAGAAAATTCGCGTTCATTGATTCAAATGTGGTGATGTTAGCTTTAATATTAGAGTACCTAAACTAGCCAATAATCAAACTTTAAGAGAAGAACATTATTTGTGTTTTGTTGGTCGGTTTTCCCAATATTTTAATTTTTAAGCGCGTTATGAGTATGTAAAATATAACAGTTAAAAAAACATCATAACTCACTAAAAAATTAAAATAATGGAAAAAACCGACCAACAGAACACAAATAACGTTCTTCCCTTAAAGTTTGATTATAGGTCAGTTTACTGTAATATTGAAATTAACTTCGCTACATTTGAACTAATGAACGCAAACTTACTACGTTGTACGTATATCAGACGGAGACAATACATGCGGGTGTGGCGTCCTATTAAACTAAAATAAAATTTCGTATCTATTAGGAGTCTAGCTGAAATAATTTAATCTACAAATAATAGGTGCCTAGATATAATTATACATGTGTTATTTTTAGAATTTTTATCATTGCACGAGTTTAATGTTAATCGAAACGAAGTGAACAATAATATATATATATATATATATTGTAACGATGCCTTTCTTTTTACAAAATTCTATTCGTACTTCCAAAATCTGTAATTATATTTACGTAGAACAACGTGTCTGGTGATGAAAACTATCGCGTCTACAACAGCGGTAGGTAATGAATATCTAGCATACGTTAGTAGCGAGTACACTTAAGTATTGAAACCAATAACAGCGGTAGGGGGCGGGTGGTCGTGCACGCATTTACCACCACGCGTGCGTTGTATCGTAACGAGAAAAACGCTCAACTCGACCGCGCATGAAAATGACTGGTTGTACAAATATAAACAACCAATGCGCCCGTACGGCGTGTACACAATATTGTTACGACGTAACGCATTTTTATTTATTTTTAATTCGTAGCGCGTAACGCATACTCAACGCGTGTGGTAAGCAGCGTTAGTAACCCCACGCATATGAGTAATACAACGATTCGGGCCGGAGTGTGCCGGAGCGCATCGCGTGCTCCGTTTTCTGTTGCGGATTTTTGCGCGTACGTACTGCCGATAGAACTTATTACGGTGCGTGGTGAACGGACGTGGAAACGAGTCGCGATACGTTTGTTGGACCGTTGCGATCAATGTTCGCGTTCGCGTTTCCGGACCGGCACAGGTGAAGCCTGACGACGGGGCCTGTCGTACGCGCGATTTTTCTTACCGGCCCGCGCGCCCACGAATAACAAACCGTTTGTCGCGCCTATTGACCCGGAGTTGTTGACGGCGGACACGTTCTGCGCTGCGTGTCGCAGCGATTGTTTAATCTTTCGGCCGTACCGCGAGAACACCGATTGTACGGTACATGCTTCTCGTGTAAGTGTTCGTGATTCCGATTAATAGGTACGTTGCACACGCTTTCACACCAGGGACTGAGACCGGACCGAAAAGGACCGGTTACGGAACCTATAACCAGGGCCCCTACACCGAATGGTTGTCCGGGCCCTTTATAAAACTTCCAAAAATACACTCTATTATTCATATATATATATAACAATTTTAGGAATAATATTTATTTTTTCATTATACCGATTCAAATTCAAGATTCATAAACATTTCAAAATGAATAACGTCTATTATACTTTTTAATTACAATATTATTTAAATTAAAAAAAAAATAAAAAAAAACAAGTATATTTTAATTTATATTTAATATATTTTTTTCAAGTTAAAATTTTATTTTGCGGGCTTTGAGCTCAGCGAACTCAGCAATGATATCGTCAAAATTGATTGTCGAAGCCAATCCGTTCATTTATAGGTAATCATTGGTTAATCCGCATTTTGAACTATCAAAATAACTAAATATATATATTTATAATATCATTTTACAATATTATTTAATATAAAATAAGTATTTCTACTGAAATTTGAAAAATTACAAATAAATTTCAACGGGCCCACGGGCCCTTAAAATAGCCGAGCCCCTGTACTCAAGGTCCATCAGCCCCCCCCCCTTATGGAGGCCCTACCTATAACCTTGTGTGAATTAGACTACCGAAAATAACCGTAACCCGATAGAAAACCCTTATGAAAAAAAAAAAAAAACTATGAAAAACAGGTTTTTTCGTGTTTTTTCGGTTTTCAAATAGATAAGTAGACGTAAATTACTGTATTAGAAACTAAATGGTGACTACGTAATGTTATTTTCGGCCGCGTCGTCCGTATGTCGGGGACCTTAACAGCCTTCGACGACGGTCAACGATAATATGAACTACACGAACGTAAAAACCCGTGTATATTGTTATTATTATGGTGGGTATCGACTACGCGTGGCAAACCATCGAACATTGGCCGCGACAAACGGATACCGCGTTGCCGGGCGAGCGAACTCAAAAGTTGCCGCGTGACGAGCCAAAATGCGTCGGTTTGCGGGCACGCGGCAAAGGAGTTTCAGTTGATTGCTCGCGAGCAGTTGGGACGGTTTTGTCGTTAAAACTCGTTCGCGACATGACGGATAGTGAAAAGTGTCTTGTTTCAATTCGGATCGCTCGGGCGAACAGCTGCCACGCTCTAATAAAAGTTGATACTTAAATATGGTTCTCGCGGCAAATGTCTGGTTTGCCGCGGACGAACATGGCGCGCGCGTAGTCGATACCCATCTTTACATTAATATTATTATTGATATTGTAATAATGTATGTTACATGATGACGTCGATAATAGAAAATAATTTCTACGAATAAAGGTCGATTCACACTATACGGAACGTCAACGTCACGTCACGTCAAAATATGTTGTCATCTATAAATACGACAGTGTTTACATTGACCGGCACCGTCACGTACCGTCAAAGGCACGGAACGTCAACGTTTATCGAAAACTTTTGTTTGACGCGCCGGTGCCTGTTCGTTCTTGTCCGTTAGAATGGTGTGAATGCATGAACGTTCCATCCACGTCAAATATTTATTTATTTAGCGTTGTTTGAGCACGTCACATATATTACCTATTATAATATTATTATATTATAATTATTATACATTTTAATCTAATTCGTAATATCTAATTATGAATGATGAAGTTTTAATTGAAGAAGTTTTTGCTAAATTTTTGCATAATTAAGTTATAATATAATAAATTAAATTTTCATTAAAAATAACTAGATGTACGATTAAAAGACACTGAGCAGTGAACAAGTTTATCACGTCGCGTCGGTAATATTCCCGTGGCGTTTCTACGTTTTGACGTTTGGGTGTGAACGGCTGATATGTTTGACGTGACATGCAGGTCTGTGACGTGATGTTGACGTTTCGTATAGGGTGAATCATCGACCTTTATAGTCGGTAACAGATTTTGTCGAGAATAAAATGGTTATTTTTATTTTACAAAAACAATGATGGGTTTTTTAAATGTTTAATATATACAAATTATACGCTACACGGTACACACCACACGTATTATTGATTCGGTTTTGTATAATATAAAAAATCTCTGTTGATAAATAGAAATAATTTAAATATGATATTAGTTACTCCATTATATACCGATCTATAATTTAATCTGTAATTTTTTTCTGAAAAAAAAGACTTATCTAGGTACCTAATTTGAGTTCTACATTATAACCTTAAGCTATACTCTTACAAAAAAATATAAACAAAATATGCCATTAACCTTTAAGTATAACCTTTAACAGTAGCTACCTAAATTAGTGTAACATGTACACAGTGTCAGATTACCCATTAGGCGGAGTAGGCGCCCGCCTTAGGGCCTCACTCATTTAAGGGGCCCTGTGAAAACGGAAAATTATTTTTTTTTTCTATTTAATAATAGCTGTATTCTATTTACGAATTTACGGGACAAAAGTCATTATGAATTATAATATATATTAAGTTGTATGTGTTATATGCAGTAATAATAATGAAATTATTTGGAAAAAAATAGAAATAATAAAATAATTGATTAATTTTTCTTGCTAATATAAAAATTTAATAAACATGATTATATTCATTAATAATAGTTGGTTATTTTTAAAGCTGTTAATTTTAATTATTGAATAGTAATGTTATAGATGTACATAAAAAATAATTTTGTAGGACCCAAAATTTTAATTGCCTAGGAGCCCACAAATGTTTAATCCGGCACTGCATGTACTGTATATATGTATTAACATTTTTTGTTTGAAAAAAAATACACCAAAATAAAGACTAGAAACCGATCATAACCGGAACCTAAATTTTGAACTTTATGAAATCCCGAAATTTAACCTAAACCCCTAAAAAAATATTTAAAAGACCCGAACCCTAACCGGAACCGTTATAATCATAAAGGTCTCAGTCCCCGTTTCAAACTTCGTTATGCGCACTTGACTATTAGCGTCGAAGAACACCGTGATTTTACCGCCCTGAAGTAGACACGCGTTGTACATATTTACATCGACATACATGCGCGCAGTGCCGGATTAAAAATCTGTGGGCCCCTAGGCAACTAAAATTTTGAGCCTTACAAAATTATTTTTTACGTACATCTTTAACATTACTATCCAATAATTAAAATAAGTAGCTTTAATAATAATTAACTATTATTAATAAATAAAATCATGTTTATTGAATTTTTTTTATTTGCAAGAAAAATGAATGAATTATTATATAATTTCTATTTTTTTCAAACTAATTTTATTATTATTACTGCATTTAACACCTACAACTTAATATATATTATTAGGGCTCGGAAGTTGATGACCTTAAAAACATTAAAAAATGACATAAAAAAAGATGCAAATATGACATAAAAATGACAAAAAATGTCCTTAAAAAATAACCTAAATAATTACAAATATTTGTTTTAAATTAATAAAAATACATTTTTTTTAAATATTTTATTTTATTTTATTATAACATTCCATATAAATTTATCAAAACTTACAAATTACTCAAAATATGACATAAAAATGACAACAAATGTCCTTAAAATATGAAATGAAAAAATGATAAAAATTTGTTTTATAAATTTATCAAAGCTTAAAAATTACTTAAAAATCAAAATCATTGCATTGTATGTTTATATCGTATTTGGTGTTATCATAAGTAAATAAATGACGATTATGTGTTTATAAATATTTATATTTGGAAAAATTTCTCTCCACGTCCACTGAAGTGATTGAGAGACGCAGACGAGCATTAACCGAAGTTTTAATTTTCACCATTTCGAAAATATTACGAAAAAATAATAAAATTTAGATATAATAGGTATTATTCACTATAACAGTGGTGGCCAAACTTTTTTTTCCTCGGGCCATAAAAAATAACTTTTTTTTATCGCGGGCCATAAAAAAATGCATTCTAAATTTTTTTTTACGTAAATGCAAAATATTACAGTTATACAAATAAGTGCTGTAATATAGAAGACTTTCGCGGGCCAGATATTAAATGATGGCGGGCCGGAGTTGGCCCGCGGGCCGTAGTTTGGCCACCACTGCACTATAACATGACAATGAAGCGACGAGATAATATCCGGATACTAATCGAATATTAGGAAAAAATAATAAAATGTAAGTACAATACTATTCATCACAACACGATAACGACGAATGTAATCGACGAGATTGAATCGGACAAGTCTTAAATTATTTGCATAATGGTCGATAAGAAACAATAAAAAATGAACTAGTGTGAAAGCAGTAAAAATGACTAAAAATGTTGAAAAATTATCCAAAGATGTCAAAAAATGACTTGGAAAGTAACGAACTCCAAAAACTGCATAATAAAAATTAGTTATTTGGATTCACATACTAATGAAACACATTTGTGGCCTGGATAGCATCTTCTAAAAAGTTCGAAAAAAAAAATGCAAAATGCATTAACTTCCGAGCCCTATATATTATATTTCATAATGACTTTTGTCCCGTAAATTCGTAAATAAACTACAGGTATTATTAATTAAAAATAAATATAGTTTTCCGTTTTCACAGGTCACCTAAAATGAGTGAGGTCCTAAGGCGGGCGTCTCTACTCTGCCTAATAAGTAATCCGGCACTGCGTGCGCGCGTGTATTTCTATCTTATATTATCGATTTATCAGTAACTAATTCGTATTCGGTACATAAGCGTGCGGTTCTCGGGTTGTCCCGTTCAATAGAGGTAAACAGATTTTTGTATGCCCATCGAGTGGTTTCTATCCGACAAATATTATAACACACGAATACATATTATTCATTTAAATGTATTCACCTCCATACGCAATAACATTGTTATGGTCTTCAACGTTCTAATGCGTTGTAATTATGGTTTGTCTGAAAACGAAAACTCACCGTAAAAGGGTTAAATGTTTTTACCAATTTGTTGTTGCTTAGTGATAGACTATCACCCTCTCTTATTCTCTTGCTTTCCCTGACCCTCTCTACCGCTCGCCGACAACTAGCTTACGATTGTATTGAAAACATAAGAACGTACGGTCTGTTATCATCGAGACAGCTGCACAAAACAATAATGGTTTGACGATAACGTTATCTTCTTATTGTTTAATCGTTTGCGATAAAAGAAACAAAAGATTTGAACGAAAAAAAAAAAAAAATTACAATATTATTGAACACCAACATGTAGTAGTTGTCGGTACGAGGGTTGATGGTTAGTTACTTCTTGCATTAATTTCTTATGATCATTACCAAAAAGCAGCCGCCACCGTGGCGGTTGATGTATTATAAGCTTCATAAGACAATTATTTCTTTATGTGTAATAATTTTACTTCGTAACAAATAATTACATGTATTGATATAGCGGTGTTGACTGAATTAAAATGGTCACCGTCAACAACAACAATAGCGGCAGCAGCAATTCAACACAGCTAATAGAAACTGTGTCCATTGATTATGAAGACTTCAACGATACATTCTTAACCTGCGCCACTTGTCTATGTGAGAACTAGTGTACCGACTATATTTTATTTTTTTTTTCAGTATTGAATTACTGAATAGCTTTAAGAATATTGACCTGTTTGTTGTTTCATAGGCATTTATGATGGTGCGGAACGTGCTCCAAAACTTTTACCATGTTCACATACTGTGTGCGTACACTGTTTGACAAGGATTGTAGCTGCAGCTAACAATCGACGCACAACACTAGATACATCTTTAAACATTAGTCGGGGCAGTGGTAGTAGTAATATTACACAATCTCAACAACAACAGGATTCTCAGACCGCTCAGCAACCGCGACAAACCTTTAGATGTCCAATTTGTAGGGAGCTCATAGTGGTACCTAATAATGGTGGAGTTGCAGCTCTCCCACCATCATTTCTAGTCAATCAGTTACTTGATTTGATATCAACTCATAGGCGGCGTACTTTAATACCAACATGTTGTGGTGGAGGTCTGATGTCATCACACATGAATCAGGTATTATGACTAACTATTTATTCATAAACTATTGGTATGACTAATGACATTATTCATTTACTTTATTTTTTGTATTATTTAGGAATTGCTTTATTGTGAGCCATGTGATCAAGTGTTTTGTTCAATATGCACCAAACATGAATTAGTACCTAGTGGAGAGAATCTGATTTCATCAAAATCTCCACCATTAGTGCATACAATCATACCTGTATCAGTAGCTATGAAACGTACATCTGAAATTATGTTATATAAAGCTAATGAATGTGTAGCCAAAGTAAGTGTAAATTAGGTATATTTATATTTTTTTTTTTACATATTTTGTTATTATAAAATGTAATAAAATTATAGTTGAATTGTTCGAGGGATGGAGTACATACTGAACTAGAACGTTTGGATACAGCTCGTAACGAATGTTTTGCTATTTTAGACGAGTCGTTTAGTGATCTTATGAATATCATAGAAAATCGTAAACTTCAACTGCAACAGCAAATACATAAAGCATGTGATGCAAAAAATAGAATCTTAAGTCAGCAACTTGCAGCTATTGAAATTGAAAAAACCAAAGTATTATATTATTTAGTAATTTTTATTAATTGTTAATTTTTTTTTTTATATATCTAATCTAGGTTATGGATGAATGTGGTAATGTTCATCAGTTATTGGATGTACATTCTATTAATCAACGCATTCAAATTTTAAACAAACGTTTGGAACAGTCTACTAGTGGTATTGATGAACCTCGTGAAAATGGTTTTATTGCACTGGATTTAGAATTAACAGAAATTAAAAATGTATTAAAAAATGCAATTGGACAAATGGGTCGTGTACGCACAACAACTACTTGCCCTAGCCATTGTACTCTAGAAGTTCTTAAATCAAACGGTAGTTTTATAGAATGAAATTATTCAGCGGATGTATTTATTAATTGTAAAACTATTTTTAGGGGAAAATTTAGTGATATCTCGTTTAGTTGATACTAGGATCGCTGTTTTAACCGCTGTAGATTATGATGGAAATCAACGTACTCTAGGTGGTGATCCAGTAACTGTAAAATTAATTGGTCCCTTAGAAGATGCCCAAAATGAGAGGGTTGAAAGTCATTTAGGACATCAACAAAAAGAAAATGATAATGTACGTGTTATTGATCATAAAAATGGCAAATATACTATCCGTTTATGTCTGTCTACTTGTGGCAGGTATGTAAATATAAACTTATAAAAATTAGTTCTATTTAATTAATCTGATTTATTTTACTGTTTGCAGATATCGACTTAATGTTTGTGTATTAGGTAGACCAGTTCCATTTAATGGTAGTAATGGACGTATTGAATTTTCTGTGACTAAAAACATCGATCCTATTTGTCAATATAATAGAGGACCTACAGTGCAACAACCAGCTGCTATTGCTGTAGACCAAAATACTTCTAGAGTGAGCAAATTAATAAAATATTTCAAATTCCCTAATAAATACTGGTTGTTCATGACAATAAAATTTTCATTATTTTAGGTTTATGTATTAGATACAGGAAATTGTCGAATAAGAGTACTTGATACTAACCTAAATTATATATGTGATATCCAAAATATTGAAGCTATGCGTAGTCGTTCTTCAACAGGCATTGGTTTATTGAGTGATGAAACATTGGTTACAGTAAATTGGCGAACAAATACAGCAACTCAGTAATCATTTCAAAATATATAAATAATTTATTTTATCAATATAAAACAATTTATTTTCAGAATGACATTAAATGGTGAAACTATTAAAACATGGACACATTCAAGTATGATAGAACCAATGTGTGTTGTTGTTGACAGAATGTATGATCATGTTTTGATAGGAGATTCTTCATATAATATACATGTATTTAAAGCTACTACTGCTCAACATCTATTCACAGTGAGATTTTAAACTATACATATTTATATTTCTTTATAGAAAATTTGATTTTCTAAAAGTTAAGCAATTTCCAATAAATACTTTTAAGTAATGTAATTTTATCATATAAATATATATTCTGTTCTTTCTTTTAAAAAGATAAATAATAACAAAACTGATGGAAAATCTGCTGAATTTGTCGGTTCATTTATGGCAATTGGGCCCAATTCACAGATCATAGTTATTTCTAGTACGCTAACAATTGGATGTCGCTATTTAGATATATATTCATGCAAAGGTACTTATGAGCGATCTATCACTGTTGTAATTACAGCAGACAAATGTAAGTTTTACATAACAGAATTATTAACTATTTTAAAAGATGTTCTTAATATTTAGTAATATGAATTCATAATTATTTTTAGCTCTTCAATCTTATAGTTCACTGGCTACTTGTAATAATTTTATTTTGGCTACAAGACGCTACTACAATTCGTACGTTATAGATTTAATTGATATGGAAACTGAAAAATTAATAAATACTGTGGATTCTAATTCTTGTAAATTGCGTCGTCCAGCCGGTATAGTTTCGTTTACTGAACTTCAAGATTCTTCTGCTGATGATACACAGCTCTCCCAATGTTCATCGTATTACTTATTAGTGACTGATGTCGCTGCTGATAGCGTAAATAAGTATCAATATTTTTAACTATTATTAAATAAATATTGCCTATCTACTTAAATATTTACTTAAACTATAGTTAAAGAACCAATGTTTATGTTGTATTTTTTTTTTTTTTTATATATATATATATTTTATATTTTATTCATTTTGTGTTCTAAGAAAATAAGTATTTAGATATTACCATAAATTTTGAATTTATCATAGAAATCTGTCTGGGCTTTAACATATAAAATTTTCAAAGCTGATGATAAACTGGAAATATTCAGTTAAACGTTTACTTTCATTTCATATATTAAATTATTTCTTTTTTTTCTTTTTTTGACTAATTTTATTAACAGAATGATAAAATAAAAATGTTTAGTATGAAAACATATTTTTAAAACATTATTATAAATTGATGAGATTATTAATGAGTTGATACTGGATCTTATATCTTAATAATAATCTGATTATATGAGTTATTAAATAAATGGTAATTTGAAGTAAATTAAAAATTTAAGAACTAAATTAATTAATTAAATTCATAAACATTTGAATCTCAAAATATTTTTTTCTGGTATTTAAATACTGCAGAATTTGGTGTAGACAAACTCAAATTAGATGTGTTCAAGAGTGATCAGTTTAAAATAGTATGATTTTGATGATTATAGATGTATAGTGGAGTAAATATTAAACTCAAGACAGATTTATGCTAAATTTAGAAAGTAGGCAACAAAATGCTTTGGCTCTAAATCACTAAATGAATGATTGTACTTACGTGGTTTTAAATGTTCATAATCTAGTCATATATTTTCAAATTTCTTCTGTACAATAAAAGGTAAATAATGTATTCAGAGTTTCAAATAGCACTACTATAATATAAATATTTATATTAGATATACATTATCATATACATATATTGAAAATGCATTAAGAAAACAATTTTAAATAATTTTGTTAGCTTAAAGTATTAAATGATGATACATCAAATTATTTATCTTAACACTAACTTAGAAAAATACATTTTTTAATGTACGTAAAATAAAGAAGAACAACTAAAGAACATTTATATGGTCTTGTTTTTATTATTATATTATTACTACCTCATTTACATCAATTATTTCGATATTAATACTTAACAGTCTTGACACAAGATGAAATAATCGAGGCGGTTAAAATACAAAAAAAACTATTTCATTTCGTTAGAGTAAGTATACACACACACACACACACACATACTGGCAAGTGAGAATTCACAATACTGCTTATATATAATCAAAATAGTGTACAAATATAAATTAATATTTGTAATAAGGCATGGTTCAATAAAATAAATAATAATTTATTGTTATGTATCAATGGTTAAGAGACCAAAAATTCCTTTGATTTATTTCTTATGGTATTTAAGGTGAATAACGTTCAATTTTTTTAAAGTTTAATTAAGGTCATTAACGCAATTTGAGTAAAAAAAGACTCAAAAAAAATGTGTCTTCTTAAAAAGTTTAGAATTATAGGTATATTTCATACATTTAGTTACTCGAAAATATTTCCATACTTAAATTGCATCTAGCCTATGACTGGGTCTTAGAAATTATTTTAATACATAACGATATTTATTTATGATTGTAGTCATTTAGAAGTCGAACAAACTTAGTGATAGATATACTGTTAGTAATAGTATAACAATTGTAATACGAGATCTTATTATCTTTAACTAGTTATTAATTTACAGATTATTACTTTTTGTTGGTCATTATTTTGGATATTTTATTCCAAATGAAGTTTTTAAAATATGTATTCACATTATGAACTATTCATAAAAAGACTTCGTACTCTGGGTACAGTTTGCAGTCTATCAATTGGTAACTTCGACTTTTAGATCAAATATAGTTTAATTTGTTGACATATATTATAATTAAATGAGTACTTAATTTAAACTTATACATTTCTACCAAAATATAAAGTAGCTTTAAACTTCAACCATATAGTACACTAACAGTATTTACACATTTGGAGTATCATTATTACTATATTTAACAAAAAATAATTTTATGGGGATAAAGTTAGAAAAAAAAAATTTTTGAAAACCCAAACATATTATAAAGTTATAAATTAAATTCTAATAAATATTTAAAACTAATTATAATTATACGCTTAAAACAACTAATAAATGAGAAAATTAAACATTTTAATTTTAAAAATGAATTACTGTATATATGGTTTTAGTAACCACTAATTATCCCTAATAGTCAATGAATTTTCTGATCAAGTAATGAAAATTAGATATTGACGGCGGAAATGTCTTAATTAAAAGAGTTTTAAAAAATAAACAAATGGTGACCTTGTGATGGTCGGAAAAATTAGGTAGGGATCATTAACGCAATTAAAATCAGTGATAATTAATAACCACTTGTATTATTATGGGATTTCGTACTAGTCATATGGGTCGGACCACTGCCATTTATAGTACGCACAGTATTTTTCAACGCTTGACGTTTGTTGCAAAACCAAATACGTATCACTTCACGTTCGTAGCCCAATCTATGTGCCAGCCCAGTGATTTCAGATCCTGAAAACGAAAGAGTTTTTGTGAATATCAATCTATGTTAAAAAAAGCTCAGTTTTACTATTTCTTTTTAAGTGTTTTCATATTTGTCAAATTATACGAAAATATTCTAAAAATGTTTAATTTTACGATCTATCAACGAAAAATAACATACTTTCATATGTTACGGCTTAATCAATAATTCAAATTGTAGAAGTTGGGATTAACACTTATCTAGAAATTATAGAGTAAAACTGAACCGATTGTATAAAGGTATAACAAGTTTTTTTCGTATTTCGAAGTTAGGTTAGGTTTACCATAGGATCTCTTAATTAATGCTACGCACACCTCAACCACCGATCAACATAAAATTGCTATCGGGATCGGTGCATAGGTACTAATTGCGTCCGAGATTATTACCAATAGAAGATTTACGTCCCATTAAAAAAGGTTCAAATAAAGTCATAGTCTACTTGCGCCCGGGAGTACTTTTTTGGACAGCCTAGTTGCGTCCCCGTTTTCATAAAATATTCATAAACAATATAAAATTACAGGATTATATTATTTTAAAAATCTTCTTTCGACTATAGCTATCATCTCAAACCATTAAAATTCTAAGGCTATTATACCCAAATAAAAATGCTCAATAATTAGTTAAAATGTATGAGAATGTATAAAGAAAATGTTTTGTTAAATATATCTGTGTGTTCAAATCGTAATTTGGAAATTTATTGATTAAACGGTTAAAATAATATTGGCTGAAACGTTTTTAAATACATTAAAGCCAAATTCGTTTTATCGGCAAAATTTTGAACAGGTAGGAAAAATAACAGTTATATCCGAAACTGGACGCAAGTCACCGGTTGAATTTACGGGCATTGACCAATTGCGCCGAAAAATAATTTCTTGTATAGGTTCAATTGCGCACCATATATTTTACCAATTGCGCTATTCAAATTTGCCTACCTTCAGATATGAAAATATTGTGAGTAAAATTGATTTATTATTTTTGTTAAAAAGTTTAAATGTAAATTAAAATGTAACTGGTATAACTTTAAATTTGAATTTATTTATAATATGTATTAATAACAGCAAAAAAATCAGTTAGTGTATTGTTTATTTTTATTATATTTATTTATTATTATAACTTAATTTTGAATAATTGACGATCAAAAAGTAACTTGTTAAATGCGAAGAAAAAAATAATTATTCATTAATTTACATTATATCAGGGACTAAAATTGTGTGCAGCACAACACACTTTGTGTAATACGAAATGTTAAGCGTTAAGTGGTTCTATTCTCTATATTATGGTATTTGTTTTTAATTTTACATTTAATTTTATTTTTTTTTTTATTAAATTATTATAAATATTTTTAAAATTCCAAAACGTATCATCAACAAAATCTAAAATTCCAACTATTTTCACTGTGTTATTCATTACTGTTAACGTGTGAAAGGGGAGTATGACAAAGTCCTTAAGTGTGCAGTACGAAAAATTATATATTTTAGCCTCTGCATTATATTAAGTATTTACTATACAATCGAACAAAAATCGGTTAAAAGCATTTGTTTATTGTACAATTATAGCTAACTAATAAGTTTTCCTCGGGTATTGTAAAACTTTTTGAGCGCAATCGGACAATCGACCTTAAAATGTTTAGAGCGCAATTGGTATACGAAAAGGTCATTTTAACCACGAATCGGTAAACTCGCGAATTTACTGCCCGGAACTGTATAAATTATCATCCCGGGATGCAAGTAACCAAGCAGCCGTCGAGATACCGTCGATCGGTACGAACATAGGCGTAACTTGGAAATTTTATTTGGGGGAGGAGGCAAAAATATAATTACATATCTAACGAAAAGGGTGTCCGAGGCTAAACGCCGCTTTACTATCTACATATTATTATATAAAATCAAGATTTAAAAGAAAAAAAAAAATTTATACTAACAGCTATAACCAACTGTTATGTACTTATTCGAAACAAGGTATGTTAAACATCAGAGGGGGCATTGCCCCTTCTAATTTATTTTGGGGGCAATTTCCCCCCTCCCCGTACACACACCCACAGTTTACGCCTACGGCTACGGATGTGTCTTGAACATTTCGTGTTGGCGTTTTGTTCGACACCGTTGAGGTTAAACCTGAGACCGGATCGGTATATTCGAACACCGCACGTGCAGTTTTAATAACCGTACCTGACGGATGTGTATTGCGCTCGAAATGACCGTTCAACAGCTCGAGGGCGTGCGGCGTGAACGAGGTGCGCCGTTTCCTTTTTTTGCACGACGCTAAGCTGTCGCCGCCGCCGCTTGACGATGCAGAAATGCCGCCGCCGCCGCCGCCGCCTCCGCTCAACAGTTCTACAGCCGCCGCGGCCGCCACGTTGTACCGCTGGTGGTGGTGGTGATGTTGGTTGTGGCCGCCGCCGATGTTTTTCCCGTTGTTGTTGTTGTTGTTGTAGTAATACCTGGACAAGGAGAACGGGGTTTTGTTATCAACATACCGCGCGAACAGATTAACGATTTCCAATGAATTATTTCGTTCACCTCTCCTCCATCATCCATTTTTCCAGTACGGCCGGGTTCACCACGCCCATCATATTGTTTGTTTTCACGTTATTGTTGTTGTTGTTGTTGTACACGTGATTCGCTTTTTTAACGCCACCGCCGTTATCCATACCATCGAACCTAAACAATATATAATTATGTTTGCAGCTCGAAAGTTTAGGTAACTATGGTAATCTCGCACAACCCCGTAATCGAACGTTTAAGCTTTAAAAACCGAAGAGGGTTAAAAAAAAAACTCGTATCTCGGGTGACGTTCGGGGATGAGCGAATGGTATTGTTTTATTGGTTTTTTTTTTTTTTGAAACCAATATACCAATACCCGAAAAAACGATTCCGAGTGACAGAGCTCAGGTTCTGTCAGTTCATGTATAGTAAATAAACCAAATATCTTAGCAAGGTAATTTGAACGTTTGATGTTATACATTTCGCAATAAAAACGGAATCTACGATTTGGGATAAACCGAAATTGTAAGTATCCAAAAGTAGCTACGTTTCGTTAAAATGTTTTAAAACTATGTAAAGTCTTTAATTAAATACCTAATATCGTTCAATGAAAATTCGTTGGAATATTTTATTTCGTCCTAATTTAATTTTGTAAAGTCTGTAAAATATGTTTGCGATTTTCCAGTAATTTTTTTTTTTTTTTTTGTTACTGATAAAATCTTATAAAACATTTCAAATCCATTTTTTAGCCTTAAATAAAAACCAAATAAAATTTATGATTTATTAAATACAAAAATTTAGTGAAAATTTGGAATTTTATCGTTTTATCAAAGTGAAAATTTCAAGTCTTTACGATTATTATTTTTTGAATTACGACGAAAAGAAAAGTTCGATTTAATCGAAAACCGGTATATTGTAAATGTTGCCGTTTTTTATAGCTTTCATCAGTGTTTCGTTAATTATTAAGAAAATTGTTGGGAAATTCATAAAATTATCCAACTACATAGAACTCATTTACTATCTTTTATTTTTTATTCGGGGACGATCAAAGCAATCATTCTGGTCGAAATTATGTACACGGACAAAAAAAGAATACAAATCGTCGTAAGACCAATATATTCCTAGTTTAACTCAGAACATTAAATTTAATATACAGAAAGTGAATGTCACTTCTAGTTACATGTTTAAATTTAAAAACATTAATATTATCTTAATCAAAAACAATTTTGAGCGAAGCTCCAATATTTTTTGTTGTCCTAACCAGTTTAATGGAATTAATAATAATGCTATTCCTCAACATTAATTTATATTGTCATTTTTATTCAGAAATCTGTTAACTTTAATTTATTTTCAAAACCATATATTGACTATTGACAACTTTATTGACGAAAAAATTAAATTAATTTTATATTTCTGCCAAAAACTCTTTATTTTCACAATATTCTGATTTCATTTAAAATATTTTGCTCTTTTTTCAATATTTAATATAATAACTATAATATTTTTTTGACAAAATATTTTCTCGATGGATTTTATTACTAGTATAATAATAAGTAAATATTTTCAATCATAAAATGCGTATACATGTTTTCAAATCTACAAATTATTTGAATTATTTAAAATATATTTAGACGATCACAAGAGTTCCGTGAACACCGTCTAATGCTATTAACCTAACCAGACATGGCCATCATCAATGCGTCATACACGAACAAGAAATAAATGGTGAAATCATTTAAGTATAAAAAACTTTTATAACAGTTAGTAACAAGAAAATTTAACAGACAAATAATTACCTTTGTTCGGTAAAAATAAAATTTGTTTTGGTAAATATTTTGTAGTCTATTAACGGATCGTCTAATATTTTTAACACGTATAAGTCGCATAAAATCTTTACACTAAAGAAAAAATTATTCGCCTAGAGTTGTACACCCAAAATTTGTTAAAAAAAAAAATATATTTATATGAACGGGAAATTATCGAAAAACACCATTGATTTATAATATTGTATTCGAATAAATATGTATTATATAAATAAATGGTTGTAAAAAAAAATATTTCTTACATAGGTTGTTGCGCAGCAGCGAGTTGAGAGGCGCACAGCATGTGCGTCGCCAAGGCTCTGAAAAGTTGAATACATCAATGCACTTTTATAGAACAACCTTTATCTACGACAGATACAGTATGTTACGGAGTTAGCTTACGTGCAAATAGCGTTCTGTTGATTATAGGCTGCAGCCGCAGCAGCAGCAGCTGAAGCTGGATCATCATCTTTTGATTGTTTCATGTGGCAGTTGAGTTGCGAAGACGGCGGTGCTAACGACTTTAAACTATTAATATTCGCGGAAGACGTCAGTGGCGTAGGCGAGACAACGTGGGCTGGTTGATTTTGCAGTGATTGTTTTGTGTCTTCTAGAAAAAAAATTTCCTATTACCACCGTGCAATTATTACAACAAACAAAAAGCATTTTATTACCTGCGAAGCCGTAAAAACATATTTGCTTTCGATATCGAGTTATTAATAAGCGCCAGAGTCAACGAAAAAACGTACGCCGCGGCGTTATTATGATATAGAAATGAAAAATTGTTTCCCGCGAAAACTATTATGTTTTTGTATAAAAATTAAATTATGTGCATTTTAAGTATTAATCCTGAAAATGTATAATAACACTAACAATACAATACTTAAATGTTACAAAGAAAATATGAAGGCCGTCCTGATACACTAAAATTAAGCATAGCGTTTTAAACGTTATTTTTTATTTTTATTTTTTTTTTCAATTAAATCGGTAGTATGAAATTTTTCGGAGTAGAATTGTTTTTCTTTCCTGCGCTCTTAAAAATTCAAGATATCAAGAATCTACTGATGCGTAATTAAAGATTATTATTATTAGAAGTTTATACAACTGCAAGTTAGTATGGTTAATACTCGATAATTTTATGATCGTGTATTGATTTATAGGCATTTTATTATAGCGATCCCAAACATTGTCATTGGTTGGTTGTTTGTAGTACTTGTAAAATTTATATTATGCTGGTATTATAAAACTAATCAAACAAATTCCAATGTTTACCTTCATTATCATTTTCATCACCACCCGTATGTTGATCGATCGCAGTAATTGCTGTTGGCCATACAGTTTGACGTTGAATTACATCTGCACCTCCGTTGTTGGCGTTGCTATTTCGTCCGTGTGCAGGAGACATGGGTGTCGCGGCAGTAATAATTGATGCAGCATTGTTGGTTGAATAAATACGAACATCTCCATTTGCACCTGCTGGCGTTTGAATCATATGAGATTCGTTTGAGCGTTGTACATTCATCGATTCGCCACATTCTTCATTTTTAGTGCGATGCAATAACTTTTGTTGCGGCTATTTAAATAAATTGTATATAAAGCGTGATTAATGTAAATGCAAGTATATTTATAATTTAAGTTCTTTAACGGGATGTTATGGTATATTATAATTATAATGGCTGCGGAGTGTTTTTTAATATACAAAGATATATAACATAATAATAGTAATATTAACAGTCATAAATATGCATAATGGAGGTTTTTAAGTATTGGGTAAAAACATTCGGTACATACCGATAAATAATTGTGTCTTACGTTGGTAAGGTCGGGGGATTGCCACTTTCGCCGCTGATTATTATTATATTGATCAATTCCAACTGTACCATTATTAAGCATACAAGGATCGTCTAAAACAAAAACACAAAAATATTAAGTGGTTATGGAAATTTAAAGTTTAAATCATAAAAATAAAATACTGACAGTTATTGTTGTCAATGTTAGCATTGTCTGTTGCAGTACTCGTAGTAGTGGTGGTGTCATCAACTGTAGTTTGTTGTTGAAAATAACGATTGAGTGGTAAAGATAATGACGGTTGATAGGTTTGATTGAGCTGTTGTCGAATATTTTTTTGCCGAACATTACTAGACGAGTGATATAATAACTGTTGCTGTAGTTGTTGCTGATTAACAGTGGGAGTCGTAATTGCGGAAGAAACCATATCATTTATAGGAATGGCTAGTATTGTTTGGGTCATAATACCTAGATAGTTTAAAATGATGTGTTGTAATTAATATATATACATGCATGATATTACGCACATATTTAATATTTACTAAAATTTTAAATTTATACGTAATCGTCATTAGTTCTAATTACCTCGAGCTGTTGGTATTAACAATTGAGCTGCTTGTAAGCATCCCGTAGTTAGTTGACCAGAGGTTAACAAAAGTTGAGGAGGTGAAGCTGTGATTTTATCATCTGGATGCTGTTGCTTTTGTTTATTATAATTGCCTAAAGTAGTATTCCAAGGAAAAGGAGTTTCTGTTGGTAAATTATGACCATTGATAATATTTTCGTCATCGTTAATAGCATTACTAAACCCATTTTTCTCTTCGTTTTCAACATCATATTCATCTTCTTCGCTTTTAGTACCACCCTCCTCCGATGAGCCTAAAATATATACCAATAACTAATAACAGATAAATCAAAGTCACGTCTAGACCCCCAAAGAAACTCATGTTTCAATAAATACATATTAGCCAGCGTTGTTGGTTTTCGCCAAATAAGCGAAACACAATTAAATGTTACCAACATCAAGGAAAGCAAATGTTGGTGACAAAATCACTTTGATTTGACAACGGATTATACATGTATACATTTTATACACATAATATATGTATATATACATATTGTGTTTATTATATACATATTGTGTTTATTAATGAATGTATGCAAGTCAACAAACCTTGGGAACGGGTTAGGTTTAAAGGTGACTGAGACAAACAATCGTCATTACTAGTCTCACCGTTCATACAATCATTTGCTGTGATCGTAGGACCATCGAAATCAGTGTTTCCTACAGGCTGAGGTTTTTCATTAACTGTTGCGCTTTCGATTGGATTTTCTGCTAGGTTAAACGAAATTATCGGTTCATCTATAATACAAATGTTTTAGATTAGTACAATTTAACAATGCAATAAATTATATTACCGAGTCAATAACTTTTATTAGCAAAATATTAAACAAATTTGTAACTTAAGAAAATAATAGATGTTTTTTTATATAGGTACTTATAATACTGTATTCATAGCTAAAAACCTAGGTACAAGAATAATTTTTCCATGGTAATAATTTAAAAAAGAAAACAGTTGTTATTATTTTGTTGTTTTTGGTTGTATTGTTATTTTTTAATTTTTACGGTCTTATAATTAATTTATTATTTTCTAAGACTTATTAAAAAGTTATATAAAATGGAAGAAAATTATTTCACTCGAAGATATATTAAAATGATGGAGAAATGTGTGAATAAATCAATATAAATAAATATAAGTATAAATCATTGTATACCAACGACCATTAAACTAGATATTATATTTTAATTAACTTATCATTTTAAATTCTAAATGTGTGTATACATTAATATATGGTAGAGCATACTATAATACTTTACAAGAAAAAGTTGAAAAAATGGATGGTCTATCTATATATACACATTACACTATCAACAACGAGGATGATAAAATAACATTAGAGTAATTTTATATAGATATATAAAATATTTAATATTGTAAGCTATTCATATACTTTAAAATTAATTAATTATTATTATTATTATTATTTTTTTTTTTTTTTTTAATGCTTAAAAAAATTTATTTTTATTTTTGAAAGGTCATAGTTTATTTTACATATATTTATAAATAATAAAAGTAATGTAAAATATAAATAACTAATTACGTATAATTTTGTTGTTTTCGCTGTTATTTTCTTCTTCCGAGTGTGTTGACAACGATAATGTGATTTTATCGTTATTGGTTGCTGGCTGTTGTCCTGTATTCCTGATTGCCAGTGACATACAATCTCCTTCATAATTACAGTTGTTATTGTTCACTACAGTGACCTGTTGATAATTATCCTATTATAACCAAGTACAAAAATGTCCAAATTTTTATTTTTATTCAGGAATTTTTAATATTTTATACAAAAGAATCTTAAATATATTATTTATATATACCTAATATAATCTACGAACACAATGTAATGGACGATTTAAGATCTTAAGGATTTCAAAATATATATTGTGTAATAATAGTGACAAGATTTATTGACGTGCACGTTTTCACTTTAACAAAAATAATACTATATTAGTTTTTAAGAATAATTAGAGATAGATAAGCATAACGACGTGGCTGGTTGGACCATAAAAAGGAACGTACGGGTATAATAACCACAGTAAATTATAATTCTGTGTTAAAGATAATTAAATTCATAAGCAACTGTGTAAATTTCACGTTATTACAAAATCACTGTTTAAATGATACTCAAATGTAGTTATATTCGTGATGATTTGTATATACAGTTATTTGCGCGCTCAAACTACACAATCACTCATATTTATTTTACCAACAGTTTAGACCTAGACCCAAACAAGACAAATATGCTACTCAAATACAGTAAAAAATGTATTAGTTTTCGGCGAAAAAACCAGATTTCCATAATAGTTTTCATACATAATTGAATGAATATTGTATATGCCAACAATGTTTAAGCTGGGTCAATATATAACAATTTAACTCCGGATTTTTTTCAGGGCTGACAATCGTATTACTCTTAAAAAGATAATAGGCCAAAAAATAGAAAGATTTGTAGCGTAGAAGTGTAGTTACATGATAGATAAAATGGATTTATCATAAATCTCAATTATGATTAAATCATTTATAAATCGTTTATAAAAGTTAGTGCAATATTGGGGTTTTGCTAAATTGTTGGTGTTACATTAGGATTAGGACATGGTTAAACCATCAACTTTCAATAGATAATGAGGCAGGTATGAATGTGTAATAGAAAATAATATCTATGAAAAAAAATAATTTAATACATAACTGAATGATTATGATGTTATGAAATTTTTAATTTCCAAAGATCATCGTATATTTATTTTAGCCAATAATGCGTTTTTATAAGTCTTAAATTGGAAAACTACTGAGTTTACAGGCGCAGATACGAGAGGGAGACTAAGGGGCTGATTCCCCCTCGGGCTTTAAATACTTCAAATATTTCAAAGATTACCTTAATTTTATATTTATTAACTATAGTAAAAAAGGAGAAATATTATACATATAACATATTATATTAAATTGCTTATTGACATTTAATCGTGATTATTTACATAATCCTTAATAGTCCTAATCTATAAGAATAAAAACAGAAGATTGGTCAAATTAATTTGTTAATAAATTGTGATATTTTTAAATTTTTAAATATTTTGCATTCTTGCCTAAGTTATTATATAATGTATGCAATACAATAAAAGGTAATTTTGTAATTAAAGTTATTTATTGTTATTTTATAATATACATGTATAAATAATATTTTATTCAGTTAAAAAACTTAAGCTATATCAATCTTTAGCAAAGTCATCAAAAAAATATATCATCGTATAATTAACACAATTGTTATAATCAAGACCTATAATGAATCATGACATGGACACCACAAGGGGAGTAAAAAGGGGTACACTTGCACCCCTTGGCTTTATAAAAAAAATAATAATAAAGTTTTAAAATTTAAGATTTATACTACTATTATTATTATTAAATTTTCTATCAACCTGTATTACTTTGTAGTCTTCAAAGAAACTAAAATAACTTTGTACTATCAAAAAATTTGAACAAATATTCCTACATTTTAACTTAAATAATTTAAGCATTATTTAGAAAGCGGTGTGCATACTATGCATGACACACTCTGAAAAAAATTTTGATAACGCCTTTGGTTCACGATGGTCATTGAAACGTCACTATTTGTGACAAAAATGTGATGAATAATTGAATAATTAACAATAAATGTAAATGATTTTTAATTTATTTTAGAATTAAATAATTTAATTTATATTTGGATTTAGTGTTATACTTATATGTAGAAATAATTTTTTTTTTTTTTGTAATCATAATATACTCGTAAAGTTTCTACTTTTTATTATTACTTATAAATAAATAATAACAATCATTTCGAACTCTATCTCGAGAGAATTGATTTTATTGAGTATAATTTAAAGTTTCAACTTACAAATGAACTTAATTAAAAGTTTAGATAATATATTATACCTTTCGTTACCTATATGTTAATATTCTACTAAGTTAGCATATAAATCAAAATTAAAATATATATAGGTAGACAATTAAATTTATGCAATGATTTATTCTCAGAGAGCAAGTTTAAAAATAAATAAATAAATAAACTGATAGTGAACGAAATTAAATTTACTTGTGATATTTTTTTTTTATTAAAGTGTAAAATGAGAATAGAAAAAAATTAATTATTTTGAATAATTTCTAATTTAAAAATATTACAACATAAAATATGGTAAATAAATATACATCATAATTTAAATACTTTTTTAACAACATTCGAATAACACTAAAATTAATTCTATAAATTACTAGATTATAAGATGAGCACTTAATCTAAGAAATTGCATGAATTAAATACCATAATTTTTTTTTTTTTAAATTAAAATTATCTCACAATTATTCAATTATTGCAATTATGTATATTTACTATTTAATTTGATGACATTTATAATAAAAAAATAAAAAAATTAAAAATAAATTTTATATGTAAATATACAGTCTAACAAATCCCTATCGTGTCTAACAAACATTTAAACAATTTATCTCCTATACATATAGGATTGTGTTTAAAAAACTAAATTAATTAACTACACACGCAGATAAGCAACAATGTGTGAAGTATAGCTGACTATATACATATAAGAAAACAATTAAAACTTTTAAGATAATAATCCACATCAGTAGAATCATAACACGTATAGAATAAAATTTAATTGATGCGATCGATCGCACACCTACAGGAAATGTATTAATAATAAATGTTTATGTTCCACAATATAATAAAAAAAAAATGTATAAAAATTTGTATGATGTATGTAAATTTACCGTGTTGTCGATTTCACAGTGTTTTTATTTTTTTACAATGTATTTAGATTCACTCGGGTGTGGTTGAAACATACAAGAGAGGTCAATGTATACATATTTTAGCGAAATTTTAACTAAAACCTAAAGGTATTTAGTATTAATGATAAGTAATAATGTGTTATAATATGATGATTATTAGAGTGAATTTTATAGTAGATGTCATGCAAGTTATACCAGCTATGCAAAACTAGCTTATAGGCTTCCTTCAATTTTTAATCTTGGATACTGATCACTGATATCCTCATTATTTATTTTACCGCTATTTTTTGTCATTCTACAACTAGGAATGAATTTTGAATTTCACAACAAATTTTTGGTAATAATTGTATTGTAATTCTATCGCGGCCATTGCATGATTTTGCATTAGGATATAAAAACTGTCTGTAGTTCACCGATAAACGTACCAAGATCTCACTAGGTTGGAGTCTACTACGAGTACATGGCTCGTGTTGTTCGTAGTAATCTGCGTTTCAGCGGTAGTGTCGACGTGATTTTCTTATAAGTTTACTATAAAATCAAAATATCTGTACCCCGCCGAACGCTTACAGTGATTCTTAATAAAACTGACAAACAAATGGCGCTACAACGGGGAGGAGGGAGGAATTGCGTCTTGAGTTTACAGAAAAACTTTGGCCCAATAAATTAACACAAACATAGGTTTCGACGACTGTGCAATTGTTGAACGAACCGCGATTTCCGAACAAAAAAAACGTACGAACGGTTTATTAGACTGTTGGACATTGAAAAAACGCCGTAAGTGCATACGAATATTGCGTACGGCCAATCGTGACGAATGAAAATAACTTGCATTTTAAAACGTATACGGTTCACGCTCAAGGGGGTGCACGAGGCGTGTGCAGGGAGCGCTTTGACGACGTACCGTATTATAGCTATCCAACACCGCCGTCTCGTCTGATAGTTAATAGTCAGCGGTGGCTATATAACCTTTTTTTTTTTTTTTTTTTTAATGCCGATGTGCAGTCTGCGGTGAGAGGTTTTTATTTCATTTTTTATTTCTCGCAATCAAATATACAAGGCGCGTATTTTCCGAGTGCAAATTTACAACCGTTTTAAATCTCTAACCGAGAAATTCGATCAAAACCCCTGCGACTATTATTATTGAATTATTATTATTATTATTATTACTATTACTGTACATCATTTGAAAATACATTTCATACTCAAATAGCTATAACATATATAATATCACGCGTAAGCATGTAATATATTTTATATATACATATATTTCCAACCAAATAGGTAATTATTTTGTTTATGATTATATACCATTGTGTATATTAATACCGAAGTATGCATATATGCATGTTTATGAGTGGGTGTATACATTAATATACCTATAGTTCGACTTCATATTTACTTATATACGTACTTGGTTTGCGTCTAAACAATTTTAATAAATAAAAAGATCTAACATATTTCTATGAGTATTGAATACGATTTCTAAGTACATACCTCTTGGTTCGTTTATTTAAATGGTAGTTTTGTAAACTCATAGAAAAATAGAACGTTGTCTTTTGCTAACGCTGATATATTTTCATAAATAAATACATTGAAAACGTTTGAAATTATTTTATACTTGCGAATGTATATGTTATACTTAGTTAAGTTGTAGAATTCTCCGTTATTTTATGAAATAAATAGGTATTTCATGAATTTCCAGCGAATGTTGGTTAAAGTATAAAATAATACATGAAAATTATACTTTAACTAATTACTTCATAAAGTAACTAGTTTTTTCTATATAATTTTAGTTTGATTTTCGTTAAAGTATAAAATACATTTAAATGTATTATGTTATTTTATTTATTTTCAACTGAATCAATTATAGTTACATTATTATTTTTTACATCCAAAGCTATTGTAGCATTTACAGTTTCAGAAT